GGGAACTGACTGCCGACGGCACTCGGTTCGAACGAGTTGCCGGTCAACCCGACCTGCCGGTACCTCCGACTCGAGCCCATCAACTGAAGCTGTCCGGCGGCGTGGGCTGGAACAACCACGGCCCAGCCCCGCTCGGGCCCTGCCACCAACAGGCTCGGACGTTGCGTCGACGCAGAAGCCGAAGCGGACGGCGCCAAGTGACTACTGCTTCTGGTGCTGTCGCTGCTGGCGCCGGCGTTGGTCAGTCGCAGACTCGAGACCTGCGCTGGTTGCCCGAGTCCCGGCGGTTCAGCGAGGCCGTGACGACACGCCTTCGCAACCGCATCACGCCGCATCGGCCGCCGGCCTGTCGTCCACGGCAGGACTCGACGCGGAACCATTCGGCCCGTCGGCCTCGTCGGTTGCCCGTCAAAGAGCGACCGTCCGGCGATGAGGCGTCTGCTGGTCGTCTCGCCTCCATCCTCGCCTTTCCCATCAAGTTGCCAGTTTGTCGTTTCGCCTTTCACACAGCCGATCTGCTGCCAAAAGACTGACGGACTGTCGGCTTCCACATTTGCTGTTTAGCGCCGTTTCGCCTCCTCCCAGCCGAAGGTAGGTGCACCCGAGTTTGCGCGCTAATCTCCACACAACTTTGTTGTACATTCTATTTCACACTTTGCTCGTCCGTGATGAAAGCTACTCATTGTGTTCTGGGACTCGGTATCCAGCATGCCGAACAATCGCCAAGGCCTTGCGAAGTTGATTTTTTGTATCGCATTTGCGGATTTAATGTTATTTCAGGCAATTAATCACGTCGTATGATCTGTTCACGTCATGGCGCCACTCAGCGCCTCTAAACTTCCACTGCCCTTGAGCCCTGTTTGGGCCGCTATATTCTTCACATGTTGTATTCAGCAGCCGTACCATAAAAGTTCTTTTGATGACGGCATTTCAACCTCTTTCATCCACTTATCATAGCTATGAGTTTGCGCTATTTTCTTGTGTACATACCAGCTTTCACTTTTACTGTCTATTTTCGAAGCGAAATCTCACGAGCCATTTGTCTTATATTTTACTTTTGCCATGACGAGCCCCTCTGAATGACTCGGCTTTTCTGTTCAGATTTGGCAGTCGATTGCCGACAGCAATTCTTTGCAAATGTACCTGAAAATAGCCATTCATTGCACAGAGTCTGAGCTCTAGAGCTCGTTATGATTACTGAATTTTGGCAAATTTACCTCTTTAACTATGTCGGTAATAGCGTAGATCTGACGGAAAATGAAATATTTTGCGAGACTTCAAGAGGCGGCTTCTCTAATACCCAGCCAATAAAGTAATGTACCTTAGGAACTACTCGCGTGAGCTATTTTCATTGTTCTTTAAAGATCAACAAACCTCTAAGATCTTATAACAATTCTTATGTCATATGTCCAGGTAGCACATTAGGAGGGCTTGATACAGTCAATTTGATTAGAGAAGTCATGTATTCTCTTGGGTTTTGGGAAATCTCTACGCCTAAAATCGTCGAGCTTGCTTTCATTTCTAGTGAAAGTGTTGGTGAAGAGATTCGAAAGTCAATCCCGCCAGAAGACAACGGCGGATTCCTTTTGACCGGCTGTTGATTGGTTTTATTGGAACATTCTTGCTGGTGCTGTTTCCGAGGCACTTCCTTTCGATTTCGGCGAAAGCATACTGAGCTTTCGACTTTCGTATGACGGACATAATCGGAGTAAGCTGTCATTTTTACAACCATATTTACATATGGTCAAGAAAGGTCACCGGCTCATCCCTAAATGTTGTATATAACATACTCTTTGTCTAAGCTCTTTGATGAGATTTACGATTTGGTTAGCTCAAGTTATATGTCAACCTTGGTGCACGTATATCTTTTTGTGTGTATTTATGTACCATCATATATTCATATATGTACGAAACAAGCAAAATATTTGATGAATACAATCACCCTCTCTGTCC